GACAGAACTCAGAGGCAGCCTGATGGCTTCCATCCTCATTCCTTTGCCTCTGTATGTTAGGAGCGAACCCAGAATATGACCCCAGACTGCCCTGCATTCAGTTCCTCAAGATGGAACACAGGAAGCCTCCTTTGGATGAGGCCTGCCTTCCCATTGGAGAGAAAGGGACAAATGAGGAAAATGAAAACAATTGTCTAAAAATAATGAGAACAGAACCATATACCTAGCTTCTCCACCGCAAATGCATAGGTTAACTCCTCCGAAAATTACTAAGACTTCACTGACTTATTTGTTCATTTATTCAACTAACATTTCCTAGTGCCAGCCATGGGTCAATCATGTTCTGAGCACACTGGGCTATGGCAAGGAGCAAAAAGACAAAGCACAGGTCCCCCAGGGGATTACAGCCCAGAAGAGGGTGGTGGCCACGGGCACACCCGATAATCAGTTACGTAAGAAACGTGCGGACAAATGCATCTGTGTGGATGAAGAGTTGTGGAACCTAAGCAGAGAGAGGAAAGTATGACATAGGGGGAGCAGCCAGGTCAGTGAATTGAACATCTCAACCTGATGCATCGGTGGAATTGGGGGCTAGAGGGAATGTTCTGAAAAAGTTAATAGGAGGTGGAATTCGCAGACTAAAATGTTGATCCTGGCATTGTGCATGTAATTGAGTGATAGATAATACTATTGGGTATAGCAGGTGTGACACAGAAGTGAGGAGCTGAGACCATGGGTGACAATGACGTCAAAGAACTGACAGACCAAGGGTACTGAGCTACTCCAGACTTACAGTGATGACAGGGAAAGAGAAACACACAGCTCAGTACTGAATCGCTCTCCTTTCACCAAACCACTACCTGAGTGTCCGAGAAATTCCAGTCTTAAAAGAATCTCCTCATCTCTGTGGTCCTCAGCAGCCAATCAGAAAATGAAATGATGGAATAAACTATAAGGTGACATCCAGCTCACGATATGTTAGGATATGTTTAATGTGTTTACCTGGGGAAGCTGAGGTTCTCCCAGTCCCGGGCCCTCCCCTCAACGGGTAAAAAGAACAGACTAACAAATATACCCGTTTACGTTAAAGACCACCCAGAATTAGAGAGTCAGCCCCAACACTGTGGAGTGTTTCCTAATGTCTTTAATTAATCACAAGGTAAAAATATTTAGTTCTGTGTTTGTGATGGTTTGAAAGAGAATGGCCCCAGTAGGCTCATACATTTGAATGCTTGGTACCTAGTTGATATACTGTTTGGAAAGGATTAAGAGGTGTGGCCTTCATCTTCTGTAACCAGGCAAGGCTTTCAGTGATGGGACCAGGACACCAACCCAAGCACAAAACCTTCAACCTGCCATTTGTCCTGCCTGCAAGATGTGCTGGGGTAATGGTGGTGAAGAACTTGTGGGAGTGGCCAGCGAATGACTGGTCCAACTTGAGGCCCACACCATGAGAGGAAGCCCATGCTGGACACTGCCTAGATCATCAGCAACCAGAGGCTAGACAGCCCAGAGACCTAAAAGAGAGTCAAACATGACCAACAAATGAAGAAGAAGAGGAAGCAGAGGAAGAAGAAGACAATGAAATGATTCGTAATGAAATTCCATTCTACTCTAGATCAGTGCATAACTCAATCATCATCAGAGAGGCTTCATCCAGAAACTGATGGGAGCAGATGCAGAGACCCACAGCCAAACTTTAGGCAGAGCTCAGGAAACCCACCCCCTGAGGGGAAAGAAGGATTGTAGGAGCCGGAGAGGTCAAGGACACTAAGAGAACGTAGTCCACAGAATCAACTAAACAGGGCTCGTAGGAGCTGATAGAGACTGAAGTGTCAATCACAAGCCTGCACCGGACTACATTAGGTCCTCTCCATACGCTATGGTTGCATAGTTTGGTGTTCTTGTGGGACTCCTAACAATGGGAGGGGGTTGCCTTTGACTCTTTTGCCAACTCTTGGGAACCTTTTTCTCCTACTAGGTTGCCTTGTCCAGGCTTAATGTGAGAGTTTGTGCCTGGTCGTATTGCACCTTGTCATGCCGTGTACCTGGTTATGCCATATTTGGTTGATATCCCTGGGAGACCTGCTCTTTTCTGGAGGAAATGGTGGAAATACGGATCTGGGGAAGGGGAGAGGAGAGAGGCTGGGAGAAGTGGAGAGGAAACTGTGGTCAGGGTGTATTGTATGAGAGAAGAATAGATTTCCAAAAAACTAAAACAAGGAAGTTGAAAAAAGAGGTATGGCCTTATTGAAGGAGGTGTGTCAGTGGGGTGGGCTTTGAGGTGTCAAAAGCCCACCCTAGACCAGTGCCTCTCTCTCTGCTGCCTGTGGATCAGGACATAAAGCTCTTAGCTACTGCTGCATGTCTGTCTGCTTCCTGCATGGTGACTATGGATTAACTCCCATAAAACTGTAAGCCAGCCCCAATTAAATGCTTTCTTTCTAAGCGTTGCCTTGGTCATGGTTTCTCTCTACAGTGATCGAACACTGGCAAGGCAGTCCTCCATACCTAACTCTCTCTTCTTGCTCCATTAAAAAGCTGACATTGCTCCTTTCTGACCAAGTGTCTTCCTCTACTTGGCACACAGACTCTTCCAGAGGGCTCCTTCTGGGCATCTAGTCATTGCCATTCCTCTCACATAAAACTGGATGGGTTCACAATACTGAGCTGCCTCAGGCTCTTCTTTGCCACACACTTCTCTCTCCCCTCACATAGGTACTCATTCAGTCTCAGTGAGGACAGAGTGATGTCATCAACGTGCGCCTGGCATGGACTAACTCCCCACATGGCTACCGTGCCAGACAGAAATGTTCTTGTTCAAATGTGGTTATCAGGTGCAGACGACAAAGGGTCAAGATGATGAGCCAGTTTCAGAAGGGCTGGTAGAATTTTGCCTGACTTTGATTTCAGTCTCTCAGGGACCACACTTCAATTGCAAGGTGCTGTTGAAAAGTAGTTTGCATAAACCTAAATTAAACATAATTAGAACCAGATAATTGGGGGAAATGGAATATAAACTTGAATAGTGTAGCTCCTGACACAAAGTGAATACTCCATTATAGTCAAATTTTCTTAATTTCTCAAATTTGAAAATTGAGGCAGAGCTTTTTCATTATATTCTTTCATTGTTCCTTCTGTTCCTCTGTGCATTTATTTTTTAAAAGCTCTAAAACCGGTTAATAATGTTTCTTTGTTCTGAATGAAACATCCCCTGATTTATCAGTTAAATGGCATTCAGAAACACAACTAATAGTTGATACACAAAATCATGGATGGTTTTGCACTCTAAGTAATGATATGGAAACCATTTCGAAGAACCACGACGCACTTTTGTGTGCCTGCCTCACAGCTAATGCACAAAGGCTTTGTGGCAGTTTCTGTCTATGTAAAACTGGCATACCTTACGTGACCTACTGGGACTTATAAACCGGGAAGGAAATTTCCTAAATAAACAAACCCTGAGGCTGATGTATTTGAGAACTCACATCTGGGGAGCTAAATCCACGCTCAACAGGATCCTGGCTGGAATCTAGTCAAATGAGACAAATCCCAAAGGATCACCATGTTCCAGATGCTTCCAGGATATTTTTAGACCTGCTGTCTCTCACTAAAATACGCTCAGATTTGAGAGGAGGGATTTCTATGGGTAACCAGAAGGCTTTGTAGTGTGGGATTTTTGTTCAAGACAGAAGTGTGTACTATTTCAATTGTCTATGTATACATATCTATCTATCCTCCTATATCCTTCTCCCTCAAGACTAGTGCCAGGGCCATGTGAGGTGGCACACATCTGTAATTCCAGCACTTGGCAGGCCAAAGCAGGAGGATTGCAAATTCAAAACCACCCTTGACTACATAGCAAGACCCTGTCTCAAAACAAAAAGGAGGGAAGCAGGGACAGAGGGTGGGAGGGAAATAGGGAGGGAGGGAGGAAGGGAGAGAGAGAGAGAGAGAGAGAGAGAGAGAGAGAGAGAGAGAGAACATCAGTGTCAGAACTCAATAACTATTTAAGAGCCCTGTCCTTGTCTTGGGCAAAACCTTTAAGTCACTACTACATCTCACCTGGTCCTTGCCCCGCCTCTAGAATAATTCCTTTCTGCCTGTGGGGGCAGTTTGGCATTTATGGATATCTCAGAGGTTCATCAACTCAACCAAGAAGCCCACTCTGAATGGCAGAACTAAGACAAGAGAGGCAAGCACATCTACCTGTGGATCCTGTGGGATCTTTGGAGGACGTGTCAGTGGACAGCTGGAAGCAGAAACAGCTAAAACCAACGCTAGAGACAGGGTGGTGTGTTCTCCGCTGTTGACAGAACTACAAGTGATACCTACCCGCTGTCACACAGTCACACAGTTCCGCTTCTTTTTTTTTTTTTTTTTTTTTTTTGGTTGAATCACTTTAACAGTTCTTAGCTCTGTTACTATTTTCCATTTTCTATATTTCTTTTTTAACAACAAATACAGGAGAATTCCAAGAGCTGGTTGATTCTTCAATATGTTGAGCATCTAGTTGCTCCTGTACCAGCTGTTCTGAAGCCTGCAGTTTCTACGTTGTTAAAGGCCATTGGCTAACCCATACAGATTTTTCTGTCAACCATTTTAAAAGTAGGATTGTTAGTTCCTCTAAGAGTTCACCAGTCATTTTTCTATTTTTGTACAGCCCAAATGGTCAGTGTCTGTGTTTCATAGCACCTTATACATCCTTCCCAGAAACATGAATTGGTTTATGGTCCGAGACTTCAGGAATGTTAATCTGGGTATCCCACTGCTGCAGCAGGTCACAACCCATAAATTCACTGCTATATTGGCCACATTTGACCTCAGCCTTCCTCTCTGTTCTTCTGGCCCTATGCATTCAACTCGTCTCCTGCTTTGTTTTACCTGAGATAGGGTTCCAATTCCTAAGAACTGAACATCTGACTCCTGAAGAGGCCAATTAGGATGAAATGATTCTGGAGTGGTAATTGTCACATTTTTGCCTGTGTCTAGTAATCCTTCCAAATATGGAATGCTTCATGAATTTGCATGCCATCTTTGCATAAGGGCCAAGCTAATCTTCTCAGTATTATTCCAATTTTAGTTTATATGCTGCCAAAGTGAGCACCAGTTACACTTCTTAACATGCTCTCTCTATTCTTATCTCCTAAGCATTGCAAGCAAATCAATCACGATGAGGCTCCTGGGCTAGAGCAGGGCATGCCACTCGGATTCCCTGAAGATATGTTCAATGGAGTTTTTGTTCTGCTGGGCCACTTCAGGTGGCATCCTCCAAAAAAATAATCAATAGTACCATTCCAAAAAGATGCACATTTTTACATTATAACTCTCACCTACAAATTAAAAATTCACACATCTTCTCTTTCTCTAAGTCAGCAGAGACATTTTTAACAGAGACAGGACAACATTTCTAGGCAGCTCAGCTATGCCCACGTTCGTGAATTCTTCAGGATCATAACCAGAAAGAAAGGTTGGTCACTATTTCTACCAAGTAAATATGTTTTTGCATGTGTAAGTGCATGTGTGCACGTGTGTGTGCGTGCACACGCACACGTGAGCACACACAATTGTAAAATGAATTCAAACATTCAAAGACTTGTCTACAATTACAGGCTAGAAGTTATGTGCTATTGTATTTACATTACAATATCCACAATATTATGGAAATCTACCTGAACACGTCATTATTTATATTTCATAAGAAATTTTAGGAATAACTTTCCCTAGACACTCATTTGCTTGTCAGCTTTCATGGTGGTGTTGTATAATCATATGTGAGTGTCTCTTTTTAATATTCCTAAAGTTTCAGTTTTATTTTAAAATTTAAATCTGCCTCACATTAACTTTGACTAAGGATGTGCTCTAAGGCCCTGCCCTAACTCCTGGTTCAATAGCTGTCTTCTCCCCTTATTTAAACCATGTTGCTTATTGTATCTGCTTTGGTTCATTTAAAGGCTATCTAATCTACTCTTATTCTTTTCTCCTGTCTAACCTCATACTAATATTTCAATGTTTTATTTTAAAATGTGCAAAAAAAACATAAGCAAAAATCCTGGTGAACTTTTGAAGATAAAACCCACTATAACACCAGGACCAGGTCTGAGCAAATCACCACCCACAAAGCTCTCTTCTTCCCTCCCCATCATCATTCCCACACCCACGGTGGCCATTGTCTCTCCCCATCACTCCTACACTCACGTACCTCCCCATCACTCCCACACCCATGTCCCTCCCCATCACTCCCACACCCACATCCCTCTCCATCACTCTCACACCCACGGTGGCCATCATGACTCCTAACAAGCCTGGTTAGCTTTGCAGGCCATCTTCTTTGTAAAAATGGAATCATATTGCAGCAACAATGTTTTGAAAATATCTGTTTGTTGCATTCATTTGGCTCATTTTACTGATATCCAGCGCTCTGAGACATGTTATCTCATCAGTCACGGGTTGCTTAGCAACCTGTCTGGGAAGTCATCCTCTGACTTCCTCCATCAGATCTCAGCTTCAGGCAGCTGAGAGGTCGTCCTCACTCCTAAATGCTCCTCTGCTAACAGCATCTTCTCTTTTTCTGAACTTTTAAAACATTGGAACAAAATAAATTCATGTATCTTATTCACCTAAGTGTTCATCAGGAACACTTACAATAGAACCAAGTTGTTTTTCTAATATTTTCTCTGCGTCTCAACAATAAATAGCCCATGTCTCTTAGATTCTGTCTTTTTAGATTTCTTAGATTCTACTTTCACTGCAATGAGTTAATGTCAATGTAGCTATATTATAACTATAATGGTTAACTATAATGGTTAATGTCAATAAAGCTATATTGTAGCTATATGTAATTATAATGGTTAAATATAATGGTTAATGTCAATAAAGCTATATGCAACCATAATGGTTAACTATAATGGTTAATGTCAAGTTGGTTGTCATCCAGACTGTACTTAGAATCACCTGGGAGACTGGTCTGGCACACTTCCCGAAGTGTTTATGAAGGCATTTCCAGAGAATATTACCTGCCATGGGAAGTCTCACCCTGACTGTAGACAGTGTTTTCCCTGGGGCCAGAAGCCGGAGCAGGGCAAAACATAGTCTAATGTTTCTGGTTTCTTTTCTTTAGCCTTGACTGATAACCCTAGATTATGGCTCTAAGAAATGAGATCAAAACGGGCATTGAATCACTATGTCTGTGTGCCTGGAAATGCTCTCTTATCATCTTGAAATGGATAAGAATATTTTTCCGTTCTCGAGAGGGATCAATATAATCCTTCCACAGTTGCACCCCTCAGCCTTTGTCCTTCGGTTCCTTCTGCTCTGAACACCCACAATACACTGGATAGGATGCCTTCGACCTGATTTGGATCCTTGCTCCTCCAGTCATCAGCCAAGTTCCTAGGCAATCAAGATGTAACCAGTACCCACCTTGCAGGCTCGTGGTGTCTCTTAATGAGGCCATGATACAGAGCACTTGCCAAGGAGCCTGGGAAGTATACACCGCTAGCCATCTCCGTTTCCTTCCTGACTGTTTGACTAACTCTTCTCCCCCTCGCAGCTGAGAGTCGCTTCCCTCTGGGCCCTGACCACCCCAGTCTACTTTGTTCTTTTATTCTCCCAGAGCAGAATCAGCTTTATTTGATGATTATTTTCAATTCCTACTGTCCTTATTATTCATAATAAGCGTTCAGTGAGCACAACTGAAGAAAGAATGGTGGAAGGAAGAAGGGAATTTAAACACTCGTGAGCACCTGTATGCATCTCCTAGAGCAGGAACCATTGCCTGGTAGAAGGTGGACATCTGGGACCAGAAATGCCTGCTTCAGGCATTGTTGTTATGAACCGCAGTGCTCAGAGGGATCCTGTTTTTCTGTGATTGCAAATCAGACTCTAACATTAAAGAAAGCAAATCCATTTTCAATGAGGATTGCAGTCTCCTAAAACTGGAACTGTCAAACCACTACCACCATCATGAGTAACCTGAACGTGATTTAAGACATGAAAGGTGGAAATGTCATCTGTTACCAGAAATCAGAATGGTAGCCTTTTAAGGGCTGAAGTAAATAAATAAAGAGTTTATGTCTAATTAGACTTTGATTTAAAAGTATTGTGTGGACAATTAAAGAAAAAGAGGCCGTGGGTTTGGAAGCGAGTGCCAATGGGGTGCATGGGAGGGGTTGGAGAGAGGAACATTACAGTTTCAAAAAATGAGCAATGGTAAAAAAAAATAAAAATTAAAAAAAGACATTGTACGAGAGAAAATGATGTGGAAAAATGGATCCATTTTAATTCAAAGAGTTTTGTCCAAATCCAAGCACTCCAGAGAATCCACATGATCACATTTCAGGATCACTGTGGCAATCCTGGTCTAACCCTTTGCCAGATTGTTGATTCTCAGTAATCAGGCTGACAAGGGAGAAATCCAAATAAAACAAAAATGCTGGCTCTGTTCTGAGGTACAGATGAAACTCACACCTCAGGGCCACCCCAAAACACTAGGAAATCATCTCCGACTTCACAACCCACAACTTTTCTCCCTTTCATTAATACTGGACAGACCATCAGCAAAACAAGCCTTTGAAAAATACAGGAGTCTGGGGTCAAGAACCATACTAGGCTACGAATCCATACAGGAGCAGAATGAATTAGAAGAATTCATTAAGGCAGCAACCCTAGAATTCTCTAGCCACCACCTTCCTCGCCCAGAGTCTGCCTCGGGACATCAAGGTTAACCTGCTCAATCTTGTCCTGAACTTTTTTGAGAGAGAGGGTCCCTCTGTATAGCCCTGGCTGTTCTAGAACTCACTCTGTAGACCAGGCTGGCCCTGAACTCACAGAGATTCACCTAGCTCTGTCTCCCGAATGCCTCCATGTCTGGTGATAAATAACTTATTCTTTATCACTGACCCAAGACATTTTGTTGTTTGGTTTTACATTTTTATTGTGAAAATCTTCAAACATGTAAAGATAAACTTTATATAAACCCCAAATACACATTGCATACTCAACAGCCAACAGCATCCTGCCATGAATATTTCCCCTACGTTCCCCAACAGTCCCTTCCTTTATTTTCCTTTGCTTTAAATTAAATCCCAGTGCTCAGCCCAGGGTGGCACCTGTTGTCTGCAGCCTCAGCTACTTAAGAGGCTGAGACATGAAGATCACTTGAACTGTGGAGTCTGAGGCTAGCACGAGCTACAAAGTGAGAGCCTAGGCACAAGAAAACCCACAAAATCAACTAACCTAGGCTCATAGCGGCTCACGGAGACTGAACCGCCAACCAGGGAACCTGCATGAAACTGACCTAGGCCCTCTGCACACATGTTACAGTTGTGTACCTTGGTGTTCTTGTGGGACTTCTAACAGTGGGAGCCGGGGTTGTCTCTGACTCTGTTGCCTGCTTTTGGGGTCTTTTGCTCCCACTGGATTGTCTTATCCAGTCTTCAGAAGAGGGATGGTACCTTGTCTTACTGCAACTTGACGTGTCTTGTTTGGTGATATCCATGGGAGGCCTGCCCTTTTCTGAAACCAAATAGATTGGAGGGCAGAGTCGGGAGGAGAAGAGGGAGGGGAAAAACTGTGGTCAGGATGTAAAAATAAATAAATATTAAAAAATGAAATAAATGAGGCTGGGAAGACAGTTCACAGGTGAAGTGCTGGCCACACAAGCATGAGGACCTGGGTTCATATCCCCGGCACCCATATAAAAGGCAAACATGGTGGTTCATGAATGTAATACCAGCAGTGGAGAGGCAGAGAAAGGAGGATCTCTGGGCCTTGCTGGTCAGCAAGTCTCACCAAACCCAGTTCAGTGAGGGACCCTGTCTGAAAAACTTAAGGTGGAGAGCAACTCAGGAAGATACCCAGAGTCAACCTCTGGCCTCTACACACATGTACACCACACACACACACACACACACACACACACAGAGGCACGTACCACAATAAAACATGAGATGTAGCCTGCACACCTACCATTTCTCCGGTAAACAAGTTCCATCTGCCCAGGGACCAGCCTACATAGCTCCACACCGTCACACAGAGTATTGGTTCCACACAGATCCACTTGGCAGCCCAGTACGGCCTGACCTCCAGGCATCACTCAGACTTAAA